TATATATATATATATATATATATATATATATATATATATATTAGGCAAACATTCAATACGATAGTGCTGGGAATCTCCCAGAGCCTTCTAAAAGTCTGTTTGCACATGAGGAGAGAATGTGCAAGTTTTCTGTCTGTTTTCAGCACGTATTTGAGCCTGAGAGTTCACATGGCATGTCAGTCTAAAGAAAGCACGGGCATGTCTGAACTTGCCTACTTTCGGGGAGCGGGTGGGTGGGCCCAACCTCTCTGGGTCTATTTGCATAACGACAATGAACAGTCCTTACAACACAGAGTGGTAAGGGAGGAAAGAGCAATGCGACTGTAATATCATCCTGTGATAAGGGGAGAGAAGAGGAGAGTCTGCCCCAGATATGCCAGCATGGATTTTTGCTTTCTCTGGGTCTTGTGTGACCCCCATGGGAACAGATGGCATATGAGGAAGAATTCATAGATCAGTTTTTCGAAGACCGAACCACCCTGCTAACCTCTCTTAGAATGCCATGTTGGGGGAAATCCCAACTTCCAGTAGTTTTAAGTCTCACAGATTTTAACTCCTCCAGCGCTGTGCCTCTGCACATTTCTGGGTTCACCAAGAAAGGGACCCCGTTCATAGGTGCATCCCATACACGTTCACAGAAATGCAGAGTGTGGAGACTCTCTGGGATCTTGCATCATACTGAGGGATGTGGTTACCCCAACTGGGGAAATTTGAGTTATTTTTCTTCAAATGATTTCATTTGGTTTCAAGGGCTGGAGAGGTTTACAGGAAATACAGTTTATATACCTATGCCAGCATGGTCTTTGAGTCATGTATATGGTGAATTTTAAAGACATATATGTTTTCTTCCTCAGATTAACAAACGTTCAGGCTTTTATTTTATTATCATCAAAAGAACATGCAGAGAATGTTAAAATCATGAAACACAGAGTCAGATAATTTGGGTTCAAATCCTGACACTGTCAGTTACTAGCTGGTGACTGTGGACAAATCTTTAAACCTCTCTGAGCCTGTTTCCTTGTCTGTATAATGGGAAAATAAGGGCATCAGAATAACTAAGTTGTTGTAAGCAGTGGGGTATGCACCATAGAGCCAGACTGCCTGAGTTTGAATCCCAGCTCTGCCTCTTCCTAGCTGTGTGATTTCTGGCAAGTTACTTAACTTCTCTGTGCCACAGTTTGCTATCTGCAAAATGGCAGTGACAACACAAGTACATACATCACTGGATTGTTGTAAGTGTTAAAGACGGTAATAATGTACGTAAAATGTTAAACACCAGCGTAACGCTGTATAAGTTTTGCTGTTATTATCATAAGGCATGTAACATTTTTCCACAGTAGTACTTCAGTAAATATTTGAGCCAGGCTCAAGGTGTGGGCTGAAAGGGCAAGGGCTGAGAGAAAAAAGGGAACTGGGACAGGAGGGTAATGACATCATTCCAGGAGGAAGCGGGCCAGAGGAGTCATTCACAGGACAGCTTTCAGAAGTTGTGGAGTTTCATGAGAATTTCAGGCTGGGGACCATTTCCCTCAAGGTCCTAAGTTCTAAATCTCTCTGAAGAGAGCTATTCTGCCCATTGCTTCTTTTTTTCTTTCTTAAAAAAAAAAAAGCTTTATTCTTTTTATCTTTATGGGGAATTAATAGCTGACAACAACATCTAATCAATACTATCTCTAATGGTTAATTTAAAAAAAATATTTCTTTAATTGGCTGCACCAGATCTTAGTTGTGGTATGCAGGATCTTTGTTGCCCTGTGTGGGATTTTTAGTTGCAGCATGTGGGCTGTAGTTGCAGCATGTGGGTTTAGTCTAGTTTTAGTTGCAGCATGTGGGTTCCCTGACCAGGGATTGAACCTTGGCCTCCTGCAGTGGGAATGCAGAGTCTTAGCCACTGGACCAGCAGGGAAGTCCCTGTCAAGGGCACTTTTTAGCTAAGAAGTTCTCCTTAGCTTTGTAATTTTAACCGAATTCTGGTTGAACCTTAAGAAACTTAACCATACATGTGTAATAACTGTTCTGCTACAAACTTTATGTCACATTTCCCATGTTCCTCTTACCTCGATGAAAATTACTGAAGGTCTTCCTTTATCATCAAAGCTCAAAGAGATGTATGCCATGGCATATGGTAAGTACATATGAAAACTCTTTATCATCACTTACTAAGTTACACAAGATTCCAGTTCAAGTTGACAGACAAAACATAAACTAGATTTAAAGTGCTGTATTAAAAAACAAAAACACCCTTTGCATTTTGGGATAATTAACACGTAGAGACCTAAGCACGTAGCCTTATTCAGAGGACGACAGCTGCTCAAATTCATGCTTAAGGCATTTTTATCCATACCTAACCGGAGGTTTCAGAGACGATAACACCAGTCAGGTATTCTGAATTCTTTCATATTAGATAGGAACATCTTCTCAATAGTACCCTTCAAGTCACATCTCATTTATCTTCCTTCTTAAGAACTGCATAGGCTTATTTTAAATAGTTTAAACACCTGTAATAAACGACAGTCGGCTAAAAGTAGAGGTACTCTGGTCAATGCTCAAAATGATGTGGCCAGCGGAAAAGCCGGCATTATTAAATATGAATGCAAGCCTTACCAACACAAACGGAACCTTTCTTTTTTCAATAAAAAAGCTAGTCCAAAAAAGGTCTCAGTCCATAAAGATTTCTTGTTTCCAAATCACAGTGAAAGGAACTTGAGTAGTTGACCAATTTTGTTTTCTACCATGTGTCTTAAAGATACCTCACTAAAAACTGGTACCTGATACAACAGAATGACATATGCAGAATGTAATATTGTAGTACAGGACTGGGGTTGATTGTTACAGACATATTTCCACTCTGATGATTAAATGGTTACCTCCTAATTATTTATATAGTTGTCATTGGTTTTTGTTTTTGTTTTTCTCTGGCTGTGCAGCTCCGCATGCGGCATCTTAGTTCCCTGACCAGGGATAGAACCCATGCCTCCTGCAGTGGGAGCATGGAGTCTTAACCACTGAACCTCCAGGGAAGTCCCCCTAAGAACATTGGTCCAATAACAAAGACAGAGAACAGCAGCTAGAACTTTATCTCATTCAATGTTCAGAGATAAAAGGGTTAACCATTCTTTCCATTCTTTTCTGCAGATAACTCCTTCTTCGCTTCTTATTTAAATCTGATGGCAACTGAATTCTGGCATTTTTCCAAGCTCCTGTACGAAGAGGATGCTGAAAGCCATCACAATACAGCATCCTGAAACATAAGGCTTCTTCTGTTCACCAATTCTGGCACACTTCCAAAATATACCCAACGGCCCAGTTTTATTTCCGTCCAGGAGACTGGATGCCAAGAATCGGATACAAGCACAGGCACATATAAGCAGCAAGATTACAGTCAACAGACTCTAAAAATTGAAAACGGCAGACATAGTGAGGCCGGCAGAGCCTTAGCCACATCCTTCCATTGCTTCTTGATGCTCTATTTCTCTTGCGTGGGCTTTTCCGACTTAAAGGAAGACACACCACGTAAGAGTTGTGAGTTTACATTTTCTTCGGGGTCTTACTGAGGACTATAGCCCCAGGAGACAGCTACTCAGTTAGCTCTGAGGAAAATGCTCTGAAGAGGCAGGGGGGAATGCCAGTTTATACGTGATTTTTGGCTAGGGAATACATTCGGTCAAGTGTACATCTTGGTAAAAGATTACTGCTGGTCACAAAGAACAAATATCTCAAGTTAATGCATTTAGTGCTCTTCTGTGTATGGGAAGATGCAAGAATCTGGAATCATTTAAATGCTTCCTGAGCTATATATCTAAATATCTAAGGCCTGCTTGTCCAAAGCATGGAGTGTCTCACCCTGTTCTCCATCCTGAATTCCTCTCAGGGTGTACACTTGGTCAGCAACTGCGGTAGGTTACGACTTCATACTTGCAGAAATGGGTGGCGAGCAAACGCTTTGTTCATTATTTACATACTTCCCTGCTTTAATCTCTTTTTCTTCTTTCCTTCCTTCCTTCCCTCTTTATT